AGGTAAAACATGAGACAATGTGTCATTTGGTGGTTTCCATGGTTTAAGCTACACAAAGAAATTTCCATGACTCATGCTAAATGGCTGTTGAAAGAATAGTGAGTTGAGCCAGGGAGTTCTCCACCCAGGATCATGCTCCAAGTCCACACTCAGAGCTGGTCCTGAGGCATCCACCTCAGCCCTCCCCAGCACAGGTCACCACCCAATAGCTGCTTTGGGAAGTTGCCATATTCCATCTGTGTGGCATTTGAAGCTTAGGCATCAGATTGGCTGAGTCTTGTCTGCAGGCTCACTCCCTAGCTGGGCGAGAGGTGAGGAGGGGGGGGGGGAGCCAGTGGGGGAGGGGATGCTGAATAAAGGTGTATGACATTCTTAGTCTCCAAAGCAGAAAGTGGCCTTGTGAGAAAGGTGAGTCCCGTCTCTAATAGGAAGAAGACTAGTGTATTCAGAGACTTCACATGACTAAGCGCTTAATGTCTATGTGACATCTAGCAACCAAGAGAGATGTATTCCTTCAGAGAGGATGCTCATGGCCACTTATTTGCTGAGGTCCCAAAAGGTAGCACTGTGGCAGCCCTGGTGAGCCGGTGGTGGTGTAGATTGGTTAAAGGATCATTGGTGAATCCTTGGAGACAATGTGGTTTTGCTGAGGCTGCTATTATCAGTACCGTGGACTTGAACAACAGAGCTGTGTGGTCTCACAGCTCTGTAGTCCAAAAGTCCAAGATCAATGTGTTGGCAGTGTTGGCTTCTTTTGAAGGATGGGAAGGAAGGTTCTAGTCTGTTCTTTTCAGTAGCGAGTCATCAACCAGGGCCCAGAATTGCTTTATCTGGCTACACCCCAATGGGAAAGCACATGAACAGAATTGCTATGAGTAGCATCCTATGGTTAGGATAGGATGCAGCCTTAGGATAAGGACAAACTATGGAAGGCACAGAGAAGCATCAGGAAGGTTCTGCATTCTGACTGAGTTCCTGAGCCACTGGGCCACCCATTCTCCATGCTCACCACTGCTGTGAGCTACCATTTAATTAAGTGTCCTCATTGTTTAGCTGTTTTCAGCAGAAGTTTCCTATTACTTGCAGCTAAGAGCATGCTTAAATGATGCAGGGTGTTGTCAGCTCTTTTAGGCTGCCATTTCTTTGAGAGTTGGGATTAGGTTTGGTTGACCTCCGTGTCCAGTTCAGGACCCGATGTTCAGCACCTGCTTTTTGGATGAATCAATTGGATGATGGCAAATGGATGTCCTGTGTGTTAATGTGTGGGAACTTCGTCGTCAATAGGGCATATTCTACTTGATGATAATGTGTTCTAGCCAAGAGGTTGTAGATCTGGGGAACAGAGAGAATGAAAAGAAGATTGATACCTCCCAAGGAGAAGATGCCTTCCCTCCATCCATGCTTTCCCCCTAGCCTTTAGAACTTTCACATGTGAAACCTGGAGGTCTTCTGTTTCCTTCACATTCTTCAATATACCCCCCCCTTTCTAAACCTGCAGCCCGTCACCCAGCAAGTCCTGTCGTCTACCCGACTCCCAGGTTCAGTCTCAAATCCACCCACATCTGCCCAGTGTTTAGTCCAGGACTCCATGGTGTTTGGGAGGCTGCACGGGTCCCAACACTTCTCTCAACGGGACACCCAGTTCCTCTCTACCTCCCTTCTCCCTCATTTCCACCCTGTAGTAGTCAGAGGGATCCTGTGAAAATGCGAACACACCATGCCCATCCCTTGCTCCAAAACCCGCTCTACCCATAGTAAACTGCAAGGAAGCCACAATTAGGATCAGGATCCTTCAATCACTTACGACTCTTCCATCTCCACATGCCCTTCTTATCTCACTCCCCCCCCCCCCACCGACTCTCTCCTTCTTTGAACACCTAAGCCTTTCCCCACCTTGCTGTCTTGATTGTGTGGGTGGATATGTGTGTGTTTGCACATGCGTGTATTCGTCATCTATGTGAGCATGTACATATATGTGTGCATATGTGGGTGTGGAGGCCAGATGTCAACGACCTCCTCCGCTGTTTCTCAGGAGCTGTCCATTTGGTTTTGTTCATTTTGAGGCAAGGTCTCTCCTCGGCTTAGGGCGTGCTGATTCAGTAGACTGGCTGGCTAGTTAGGCTGGATCCACCAGTCTCTGTTTCTCATGCCAGGATCACAAACATGTGCCACTGTGCCAGATTTCTTTCTTAAATATGGATTCTGGGGACAGAACTCAGGTCTGCATGCTTGGGTGTGAAGTGTCTTACTCTACCTCCTACTCCATACCATGTGGTTTCAAATTCCCTCCTCCTGGAACATTTCTCCATTGTTTCTGTTTGTTAAGTGTTAAAGGGACTACATACATATACTCACGAAAGAATACATAAGGCACAAACATGTCTCTCATGCATGCGTTCACCCACAGGATGAAAGGTTGCTTGTAAGTCTAGAATGTATGTTGTCACCAACTGGCAGTCATTTCTCACAGCATCCCCCATGACAGCCACTGGCCTGGTATTGAAGGCATTTCTTCAGAGTTTGTCACCTGTGTGGAACTCCATCAGCAGACACTCAGTTCTGCTTCTCTGACTCGTGGACACGGAACCATCATGTGATCTCCTTCATTTCCTTGGATGGATATCATGGTGTCAGTGTCTGTCTCTGCATGGAGCCATAGCTCACTCATGTTTGTAGCTGAAGTGCTTCTCATTCTGATTATTCTATAGTTTGTTTATCTGTTCTGCCATGAGCATCTGGGATTCTTGTTCTGGGGTTATTATGAACAATGCCACCATGGACATTTGAGTATGTATAACCTAGGGCCTGTAGGAAAGTCGTGCAATGGAATTTTCTAGAAGTAGATCTCTGAGCTGGTTATTAAAGTATCTCTGTCTGAGTGGAGTTTGTATGAGCTCCGTTCCAGCACTTCTGATTTGCTTCATGTTTTTATTTGCCCCTCACACCAACCCCAGGTCAGCGGCATCCTTTCCCTCTGGCAGGTTTGCATCACAAGCATGGAGCTTGGTCTGGGAGAGTCAAACCCAGCTTTTCCTGGACTGACGTGTGCTAGCTGTGTTGAGGTTTTGTGGGCCCACATTAGTAGCAGCGTGTGACTGTGAATGCACTGGGGAGCCCACCAGCCTGTGCCCCAATGCAGCCGCAGTGATGGTGATGGGGTGGATGTCTAGACAGATCTCACTGTGGTTTGCTTGCATGTCACTTCGACTAATGGTATTGAGTCTGTGGTTGGACATGTGAATATAGTTTAGGGTCTTTTCAGGTCTTCTGATCATCGTTAATTATATTTGTCTTATTTTTAAAAAAATATTTTTATATGCATATGTGTTTTGTTTGCATACGGGGTCTGTGAACCACTGAATGCAGTGCCTGATGAGACCAGAAGAGGGCATCAGATCCCTTGGAACTGTAGTTACAGCTGGTTGTGAGCTGCCACATGGTGTGGGTGCTGGGTATTAAACCTGGGTCCACTGGAAGAGTAAAGTGCTCTTAAGCACTAAACCCCCTCTCTAGTCCTGTCTTTGTCTTCTAATGGATATTTTAGAGTTCTTTATGCATTGTGGACGTTTTCCCTTTGCAGCTATATGCATTACAAATATGTTAACACGGTCTATGGCTTGTCTTCATTTAAAAGTTTTGTTTTGTTTTGGTTTGGTTTTTCAAGACAGGGTTTCTCTGTGTGTAGCCTGTCTGTCTTTCCTGGAACTCACTCTGTAGACCAGGTTGGCCTCGAACTCACAGAGATCTGTCTGCCTCTGCCTCCCTGAGTGCTAGGATTAAAGGCATATGTAACCACTGGCAAGTTTTAAAAGACTTTTAATTGTGACTTATTTATTTATTTGTATGTGGGTGTATGCTATGATACATGTGAGGAGGGCAGGAACAATTTGAGAGACTCAGTTCTATCCTCTTTTACTATGTGGATTTCAGGGATCAAACTTTGGTCTTCAGGCTTGGGGGCAAGCACCTTTAGCAACAAAGGCATCTCACTAGACCCTTTTCTTCATTTTCCCGAAGGTATCTTTTGGCGAAAAAGATTTGACTTTTGACTATCAAGTGAACACTTTTCTTTGCTGTTGATTGTCTTTTCTGTAACACAGCTTCACTATTGCACGCTGGTGCTTCTGTTAGAAGTGTGAACTTTTAGCATACTTCCAAGTTGTTGTGTCGGCGCCAGCCTCGACAAAAGTACCTTTCTCCAGAGTGGAGGCGTGGGGATTTAGAAATATAGTAAAGAACACGAAGATGTGAATGAAAATAATAAAATGGAGAAACATATAGGATAGTATTAGGAGGGAATTTCTCAGTGAGTACTGAAAATTCACCCATGTTTAATTCCCAACTGCTTAAAATACCCCTGACCCCAAAAGGTAGGAGTAAGACAAAAGACTGTATTAACATGATACAAGGAAATGAACAGACCAATTGGAGGTCTATGTTCACCATGTTCATGCCCCAGCCTCACTTCTTGACCAAACACTGCAGGCAAACCACTCCCTGGGTGGAATCCCAAGTTATTTCCATAAAGAGAACTGGAACTTAGTTGGGTCCTTAGACTTTTAGGTAGAAACCAACTACTTCCCTATTCCAGGAGCACAAGGCCTGGCAACTAGCCACACCTGTTGACAATAGCCTTAAGAGAGCAGAACACTGATTTACAACTATGTGGGAGCTTTGTTTGAAGTGGAAGCAAAATAATGAATGAACTAGAAACAAGTCCCAAACTCTCTGACCTTTGGCCTCTTTGGGCCTCCACATTGTTGCCACTGCATAGTGATGTCAGAGTTTAGGTCCAGATCTGCTTGACACCCAGGCTTCACACTCCCCAAAAGAGTCACACTGTAAGGACCATTCCCTATATTTGTTAGAAGAACCCAGTGAGGCCCAGTGCAGAGTTCTGCGAGGGGCTGAACATGATGAACCAGTCCTGTAAAGACCCTTTTGATTCGCTTCCAGCACAGGCAGAGCAGAAGGAAATAACTCCTCTCGTTTGTTTCCAGTATATCAAGGCCTTTTACAATGCAACCTGGTACAGAAGACATGGACATCCCATAGACCCCAATACCTTGACCCTGCTCTGGTCTGTGACTGTGTCCATATTCGCGATTGGTGGCCTGGTGGGGACGCTAATGGTGAAGATCATCGGAAAGTTTCTTGGGAGGTCAGTCCGGGCATTGTTTCTGTTTGGGGGTTGTCCCTTCTATAATAATAATAATAATAATAATAATAATAATAATAATAATAATAATAATAATAATAATGTGGCACCTGCATCATTATCAGTTTCCCAGCAGGCAACAGGGTTCCACACAGTTTAACTGTAGAGGCTTTACTGCCGAATGGGCAGAGGGAAGAGAGAGAGTATCAGTATCCAGGATTATTGGGTGGTACAGGACAAATGAGGCAGAAACTGGGCAGTACCCAAGTGAGGGGAGCAGGGCAGAAATATCCTGACTGCCCTGTCTTCCCACCCTCCATTATGCTGCAAGAAACCAAGGTGCGTCACTGATGCTTAAGAGGCCAGCATAGAGCAGGGAGGGGGATGGTCTGGAGAACTGGAGAAACCCAGCAGAGACTTAGGGGTTGTTCCACAGAAGCACAGACTGAAGACATTCAGGATGTCTTTCACCATATGACTGATGGACACTTGGGGAATTTCAGGTTGTTCCTCTCACCAATAAGACTGCAGTAGATTAAGTATCAAAAACTCAGGGCACATTCTTGTCATCCTGGGGATTGCAAGACAGGAGGCTGAGACGGGAGGGCTCCTGGAAGCTTGCGGGCCAGCTAGTCTAGCTGACATGGCGAAGCTCCAGACCAATGAAAAACCCTGTCTCAAAAATGATGGAAGCTACCTGAATTATAATTCTGACTTCCACATGCAATCACACAACAGTGCGCCCATGTACAACATACACACATACACACATGTTGTAAGAGTCCCCTTGTTTGTTCTCAGCTGCTCAGTCCCAAAATAACCACACAGAAAACTGTATTAATTAAATCACTGCTTGACCTATTAGCTCTAGCTTCTTATTGGCTAGCTCTTACATCTTACTTTAACCCATTTCTATTAATCTGTGTATCACCACGTGGCTGTGGCTTACCAGCAAGGTTCCTGCTCGTCTGTCCCTGGTGGCGGCTACATGGCATCTCCCTGACTCTGCCTTCTTTCTCCCAGCAATCAGTTCAGTTTTCCTACCTAGCTCGATTCTGCTAGGCCACTGGCCGAAACAGCTTTTATTAATTAATCAATAAAAGCAACACATATACAGAAGGATTTCCCACATCACACACACACAAACACACATATATATGCACACATATACATACACATACACACACACACACCATTTAAATTCCCACCCAGGCCCTCTCCATCAGATCCACTTCACTCTGTTTGCCTCATTGCTAACTTATTTATGCCATGAATCCTTCTCTAGGCAGTTTAGTTTATCAGACTCCACCTCATGCCCCAATGTCTTCTCAGTCTCCTTTTTGATAACAACAGTCTCATGTGGGGGGGGGGGGTGCTGAGGTGAGTGGGAGCAAGACAGTCTCTGTAAGTTTCATGTCTGAATTTGAATTATGAGTTTCCCACTGCTAGCTGGATGACCTTGAATGTTATGGTTGCTGGGGAGAAGGAGTAGAGGGAGAATTCCATGAAATGTGTCCCAGTGAACAGAAACTGTGTGTTTGTGGTCACCTTGCCATCCATACAGAGTAGCTACTCAACATTTACAGAAACTAGAGAGTGGATTCACCAAGACCCAGAAATTCTCTCAGACACTGAGGTTAGAGTAACACTCCTAAGAAGGGTCCCACCCATTCCTTCCCATGCTGCCTAGTGTCCCCAACAAAGAGCTTGTTAGAACACCGATGTTTCAGTAAGAATCTCAGAAGGCCTTGTTGGCGACATCCACGTGGTGCTGTGAAGGTATGTGGTGTTAGGAGGAAGTTCTGGTGTTTCCTTTTCCCCAAGGCCAGGTCCAGAGCAGTAATTTCTGGGCTCTTGGTACTAGGGAAGCACAGCCATTGCCTAAGGCAGTGAACAAAGTCCTTGGAGGTCTTCCAATGCTCCAGACATTCCCACACTCTCTGTTTCATCTGCTCTGGTGGGTCTATGGATGGGAACAGGAGGTCAGAGAGGTCAGGATGCTGTGTAGATCCAGTTAGCCGACGTGTGGCTAATATAGTGGGAATGGCACACGAAGGCCCGACCCTACCTCTTTCCCCAGTTCTAGTGGATCATGGGTAGGGCCTCTGCTGGCAGCAGTACTGTGAAGTTTGTGAGCCATAGGCACACAAGGAGGTAGTACCCAGATGGTGCCACTGGCCAGGGTCCCCAAGATGCTGTTGCTAAAAGCCTCTGACCCATGCCAGACCTGTCCACAGTCCTCCTGTCTACCAAGACTGTGAGTCATCCCTGCTCCAGGATCCGTGACCTGTGATGTCTACCCCACCTTGCTGTGCACTCCTGCCTTAAGACTGTTCCTTAGGGGGGCTCTGCACCCAAGCAATGGAATAGAGGAAGGTGCTGTGGGATTGGGGGCCAAATTTCATGGCTCAGTCACCAGCTATGGAACTCAAGATTCTGCCACCTCATCTCCTAGCCCATGTTTCCTCACACATAAGCTTTATGACCTTCAACAGCTCACAGCTGTGAAGCAGAAAGAAAGCGAAAGGAAAAATGTGTTTGTAAACATCTTAAACACTTTGAACTTCTAAGCAGTTGAGTAATCCTCGCTTTAGCCCAGTGTGCCACGGACCGTCCCTCTTGGAGACCGCTATCCATGGGAGAACAGGGTGAAGGATAGGATAGCCAGGATACGACGCAAGGGAATGACAGACAGACACACTGTGTAGTGAAAATCTGCTGCAATTTTACTTCTGTAAAGCTTCAGTTTTTGTACAAAACAGATCAAAGGACTTGGCAGGCTCACTGCATCACCCCACTCAGGGTTCCAGACATAAATCAAGATTAAGCATAACCAAAATAGAGCTTCTTCTACGTGCTCCTTTCAACGTGATCCCCAATACGTGCTCAAGATGTTGGCAAGGACTTTTAGTTTTGTTTTGTCTCTTAGAATTCTGTCTCACACCATTATTTACATTCTACCGTGGGAGACCAATTCCCAGGGTCCTGTGTTTAGCTTTCCATCTATATAGTTTTTTATTCTTTGCTCCATATTCCCTAATAGTTTTCTCATTTTCTCAGGATAGTTCCTATACCAATATATTAAAGCTGGTCTCATGTTTTCAATAATTTCCTTTCTTTCCTTCTTACTATAAAGACACCAGGGCTTCTGAGATCTAGCTAATCTTTCCATAAAGGGGAATTTTCTCTAACTCTCCTTTTCTCTCTAAATCTGATTCACTATGACAATTCCCTCATAACATATCAACTTTAGCCGCTTCTGTTTCATAATTAATAAAGTTTCCCAGGCTCATGTGGCGTGGGGCATACTTTATTTCCTCAAGGACTGCTTTAATGAACGGTGGAGCCAAGCCAAGGACGTACTTTGATCTCTTGGTAAGCGGTCAGCTATAAACAAGAAAATTAAGAAATACAGAGAAAGATCAGGCAAGGTGTCAGGAGGGCTCGCTCTCAGGGCCATCTCCAGATACGAGATCTGCCTATGGCATCAGGTCCTATCTCGACCACTGATTGCCAGGGGGACCACCTGGGGCTTCGCTCCAGGAAGCTCTAACCCCAATCCTTCAGCAGGCAAAAGCCAGCGCAGAAGCATTTTGTCACTACACGGCAGTCACTGCTGTGGACGTGGCACCAGTGGGGCCGTGTGAGTGGTGCTGCTGAGACCAGATGAGAAGGCACTGCTCACTAAGCCTCAGCCACTCCAGCCCCTTTTCCTTATTTTGGGAATTGAGGCTAAATTGAAGTTTAGCTCGGATAGCTGTTGGGAGGATAAGGAGCAAAGTCAAGGGGAAGGCTGTTACATCTTAGCTTTCTTCTAGAGCTGGTGCTCCATGGACCACAGGACAGTTACTTAGCAACCCACTCCTGTTTCCCCTGCTTTACAAGTCGTGAACCCGACACCCATGGCTCCATGGCTCATCTGCACTGCAGAGTGGGACTGGTCTGAAGTGCAGGGCTAAGCTGACCAAGCACTGAGTTGTGTGAAATTCCTCCTGGGGTTGTTAGGGAGGAAGAGGGAGCCCAGATCGTGGTGAGGGGCTGAGGGAGAGCAGCAGCAGCCTGGGTGGGCCTTAAAGGGTGTTCTGATGAGTGATTAGGAGAGAAGTTCAGTAGGACTTGGTTCTCCACTCAAGTTGGGACTGGATGGTGGTGATTCCAGCAGCTGGGTGGGGACTGGCTACTGGTAAACCCAAAGGTCTTTAGGGAGTCAGCGGGTGTGGTGGCTGGGCCACAATAAACCTCTATGTTCAGAGAGCAGTGGAGCCAGGAAAGCTGGAACAGCCCTGGAGAGGGGTCATATCAGCTTAGGCAGACCCCAGATATACAGTTTCCACCTCATCAGGAGCCTCCTGCTGAAAGAATTCTGGTGGACCAGCCCTTTGTTTGGCGTCATCTCTTGCCTCTGCAGTAGCCACAGACCCCTTCTTCCCTCACCACACAGAACATCAGGTCTTCCCAGACATGGCCACAATTCAGCTTCAGCTATGGACTTGATGCTGGTGTACAGCACACAATGCCTGTCTGCGCTCTATGTGCTACCATACAGTTCGCGAGCTTCGGGCAAGGGGCTAGAGAATGAAACACACAAAGACACACAGACAGAGAGACAGAGACACGGACCTCTAGTCACTGGTATTCAGTAGCACCATGGAGGCTTATACACCCAACAGTCAGGTGGGCCAACAGGTGAAAACCTTATCCTCTGATCCTCAAGGCCAGGGCAACACATGCTCGTGAAGCAGAGCTGGGTAAACAACTTTGACCCAGCTTTCAGTAACTCAAATCAGAAGGAAAGTAAAGATCTCTAGCAGGGAAGAGCAGCTGGAGGCCAGGACTCCAAATGGTCCCAACAGGGAGGGTGGAAATTTTAAAGAGACTTAGGGGAACAATCAGGTGGTCCAACAGGTGAAAACCTTATCCTCTGATCCTCAAGGCCAAGGCAACACGTGCTCGTGAAGCAGAGCTGGTAAACAACTCTGACACAGCTTTCAGTAACTCAAATCAGAAGGAAAGTAAAGATCTCTAGCAGGGAAGAGCAGCTGGGGGCCAGGACTCCAAATGGTCCCAACACTGGTGGCTCATGTGGTGTCTATAAATTACATGAACTCTCTTACCCAACCTGGTTCGCAGTGGCATGAAAATAAAGTAAAGGCATGTGTGAGAACTGCCGCAGAGATTAAAGCCATGTTCGGTATAAAGTGCTTCTCCTAGCAATCAGCTAGAGTCAGCCATCATGACTCCCATAGCCGTGTGAGATGTGCTCCCCACTATCACAAATGGGGCCCTTCCTGATGTGGCTCATAGTGCTCAATGGAGCAGAGTTGTTGCTGTTGTGTGTGTGTGTGTGTGCGTGCATGCTCTTGTGTGCATGTGTGTGTGTGCATGCATGCTCTCGTTTGCGTGTGTGTGTGTATGTGTGTATGTGTGTGTGTGTGTGTTTTAAACTATGCTAGAATTGTCCTCATTGATCATATCTTTGAATCTGGTTCTTACCTCAGGAAATAGGTAAAAGTAAGAAACAAAGCAAGAAAACCCACATGTGCTTTGAAATCCTGGGTCAGTTCTCAGGCAAGAACATCTATCTAAGGGCTGGAGAGATGACTCAGTGGTTAAGAGCACTGGCTGCTCTTTCAGAAATCCTGAGTTCATCCTAGCAACAACATGGTGGCCCACAACCATCTCTAGTGGCATCTGGTGCCCTCTTCTGGCATAAATGTGTACATGTAGATAGAGCACTGATACATAAATAAATAAATCTAAAAAAGACCGTCTATCTATGCAGCACACATGTCTGAGTGCTGCCAGGATGGATGGGGCACTATATGGACACACAGATTTGAAACAAGAAATGCACAGTTCCTGAGGTCCAAGGCTGCCACTGGGACAGAAAGGTACACTAAGAAGTTCATCTGCAAGCCCTCAAGGTCCCCATAAGTTCCGAGGATGAGTGACAGGCTCAGGAAGAGGCACCTGGCCTTCCAAGGTGAAATTCTATGAAGTATAGATAAGCAGACCTACCTCAGAGAGCAGCTATGAGGGCTGGACGTGATGCAATTTACCCAAATTTGCATGGTGTCTCATGTCACTCAGGAAGGTCTTTGAATGCCTGTCATGGATCCCAAATCAAGTTGGCTTAAGCCCCAAGGGGAATTTGTTGGAACACATAACTAATGTTGAACCAGCCAGCTCATAGAATGTCAAAAGAAAACCCAAATGATCTGTCTCTTTCCTCCATCTCTCAGCCCTGCCTTCTCCTGTCAATCTCTCCGTGGAGGGTCAGCATAGATCAACATCGCCATCCCTCTCTTAATAATTACCTTAAAAGTGCCAGGTGCTGGCCTGGGACGATGGCTTAGTTGGTAAAGCACCTGCCATGTGGGCACAAGAACCTGAGTTCAGAATCCCCAGAATCTACATATAAAGCCTGGAGTGGTGACTGCCTCCTGTAAGCCCAGCCCAGCGGACTGGGGAAGAATGGACAGTGGAAAGTGATGGAGGTTGACACTCTTGAGTTCATACGGGCTCTTCAACATGTTCAGCCATGCTGAGCACAGCAGAAGCACATGCTTCCTAGGGCAACCTTTAACCACTGCGCTCTATCGAGCACATAGAAAGAAACAAAGAACAGTAGAATTCAAGCCAGGAAAACAAGAAAGGATGATTGATGCGGAGCAAGATACCATCTTGGCCTATCATGGCTTTAGAGTTGCCACTGAGCCCGTGGAGGCAGACGGCACACACACACACACACACACACACACACACACACACAACTTCTCCATTCACTAGGGCGCACTGACAAGTGCTTTACAAATGTAAACCAGAATAGGAAGCCTTCCACCCACAAATCCCGAGCCTGTAAAGGCTGAGCCTGTAGAAGGCAGCTCTCGGGCTTTCCCTGACCTTCCCTTATCCAGTTCAAGTCTCCTCATGCTGAACCTTTCTCAAAGACCCGCTGCCCATCACCTCCCACCACCTCTCACTTTTCCTCTCTGCCCGAGAGCTAGTGATCTTCTGAGTCACACAGGGAAGAGCAGACACCGTTGAAGAAGCGTCCAGCAGTGAATCGGGCACCATGGGCGGAGTTGCAGGGGACTCTTGGATTCTGCTCTCAAAACTGATGCCCCTTGTTTGTGTTGCTATGTTCATCCTTAGGAGAAAATGGGAACGCGATGATTAAAGTCTACCTTGGAGCCCCAGGGAGTCAGCTTTGAGAATTATTTGCGAATAAGGTTTCCATCCTCTCTGGGAGGCTGTCAGGCCGGGGCTATTTTGGGAAGGAAGATTTAATATGATGAAGTTGCTAGAGGGGGTGCGTCCCTGTTTGCAAACGCTTCCTGTCTGACTCAGATGTGACTAACATTTCCTGCAAGGCACCAAAGATGCTGCTGGGTACAGTGCAGAGGTTCAGGCTAGAACCTCAGAAGACATCTTGGCCTCTCCCTCGCTCTTCACCTCTGTCTGCCCAGCAGCGAATCCCAACGGGTCTGTCCTGAACATATGCTGGGATCTTGATGCTTCTCACAGTCTACCTTGCTGTCAGCCTGGCCAGCGTTGCTCACACTGCTGTGATAGCTCCTCCAAGGACCTCCTGGCTCCACTCTGCCCCCTCCTGGCCATGGACTGCTCCAAAGACCCAGCAGTCTTATTAGAAGTCAGGCCAAGTTGATTCTTTCTTTGTCATCTGTGGCCACCTCCTTCGCCAGGGACACGTCTGTCACTCCTCTCTACCTGCCCACTTTCTGCTGCTGCCTCCCTGGTCCGCCAATTATACTGACCTCAAAGATGTCTGGCTGTTCCTGGCTAGCTATCCATCCCTCCATCACACCTTCACTCTCATGCTGTCTTTCAAGACAGACTTCCTGGTCCACTCTGTGCAAAGCGATACCCCCTTCCCTGCTTCGGCTGTTTTGACAGCATCGGTGCAGCTGGCATGTGACATGTTCTGTGTTGTTTATTGGGAAGACTTTAGAATAAAGATGTCACCATGTTTGTCCTATAAGCCAGAATCTAGTGCTCAGCGCTCAGTTCTGTGTTGAATGAATAGATGTTTGTAGAGAGAATAAATCCTATTTGTGAGTGACTATGGCAGCTAAACGTGCAGGCAGATTGTGTCATGGTCCCTGGGGGGCTAGATCTTCCTTCAGCAGTGTGGTCTTGACTAAGGTGCTTGCAGGTCTGTTTTCTCAAGATTATCCAACTTGAAGCCGGAGGGAGGGCTCCATGGTTAGGACCATTCCATGCTCTTTCAGAGAACCTGGCTCCAAGTTTCCACACCTGCATGGGGGCTCACAACTGTATATAACTCCAGCTCCAGAGGATCCGATGCCCTCTTCTGGACTATGCGGGCAGCAGGCACTTATGCAGTGCACCGATATAACCACAGATAAAACCCCACACACTTGAAACAATTATATAACTCACAAGGTGACGTATACAGTGAATATACAGTGTTTAAGGCTGCACAGTGAAGCTCGGGTTTGTTAGGTAGCGCCATTATGATAGCCGCACATCATGCCGGCTTTGGAAGGGTGGCTTGGTAGCATCTCCGTATGAGCTACCATGGCTTTAATATACACTAGTTCTCCTTTGAAAACCCTTTGCTTCTCATAAATTAAAAAACAATATGAGGCTTCTTAATTTACCTAGTGGTTGTTGCTGTTGCTGTTGGGGAGGTGCGAAGAGAGGATGCTTCCTAAACTCTTCAACTTCCTAACTCGTCAGCGTCCGTATGGACGAGCCCTGCCTCTGTCATACCTGGCGCTCAGCTTAGAGCCTGTCACAAATCGAGGCTTGAATACAGGGAAGCTGCTGCGTTGGTTCTGCAGGGGAGGAAAAGAAAACACAGCCTCCTCACGCTTCAAAGACAGAGCCATTGCACAATCCAGCTCCCCGCCCCCAAGGAAAGCAGGGATCTCCTCTGTAAGGGCTTAGGGACACATTCTTGAAACAGATAGCTATCCCGACACATAGCAGTAAGAGTAATTATTGTCAGGGGAATTTGTCTGGCTCTTTGATGGTTCCAACCCAGCTTTATATCTGCAGTTCATTAGATCTAAGGCGCCTATAGAGTATTAAGGAATATGATTGTTTTATTGAGGGAGAGGGAAGGAGGGAGGGAGGAAGGGAGGTTGCGAGGAAGGGAGAGAGGAGGAGAGAGAGGGAAGAGAAACAGAGGGTCCACCAGCTAGAACTGTAGGAGGCCACACAGACTGTCCAGCTATTGTCTGGACACCACACTCCGGCCTGTTTCTGTTTGCCTGACTTTCCTTGGCCACTGATTCTAACTTCCAGTTTTTGTCCAATCCCGAGAGGCAGACTAAGTGCCCATCAGAGAGGTGGTACCAGTGAGCTGTACCACTCTGAGCCAGCTCTTCAGGGATCCCCTCCTGAGCCTCTAAGGCACTAGCACCCCAGAGCGGCACCTCCCTTTTCAGAGAATCTTTACATAAATCACTCTTCTAACATGGTTATCCAACGCCCCATGCTAACATCTTTCCACTGGAATACTGAGTGGTTTCTGTTTTTTCTACTTAGCCCGGCTCCTGCATTGTGACTTACACCTTATCTTGATAAAATGCTAGATGAAACTCAGAATTGGTGAAATAAAATCCTTCCACAAGGAATCCATAGCTTTCTACTTGACAGTGCCCCTGTCTACCCCATCGAAAACAGAGAAACAGGGAGTGGGTGCCAGGCTCAAGGTCATACAGCTAAGAGTGGGGGTGACCCATGACCCTAATTCCTAAGCTCATGCTTATTTCACCACCTGAATCTCACTCGATTGACCTTCTGATGGGACTGGCGTCTCTGTTTTGGGGAGGACAGACGCCACCGACATGTGCCTCATCATGCATTGTCCTCATCAAGCCACTTCTCCTTCCAGGAAGTACACGCTGCTGGCCAATAATGGATTTGCGATTTTGGCATCATTGCTAATGGCCTGCTCACTCCAGTCAGGAGCCTTTGAAATGCTCATTGTGGGACGGTTCATCATGGGCGTGGATGGAGGTGAGACTTCAGCCCAGCTGGGGAGGAGGGCACTTCCAGGGCTTGTCTGGAATGGGGAGAGGTGCTTGGAGCTCAGACAGACTTGGAAGAGACCAAGATTCTAGAACCCCACTTAGTAGCTAAGTGTCCCTCTACACAGTGTTATAGCATCCAACTGAAAAAAAAAAATCCCAGGCTAGGTAGAGCTGTTTTACAGTGTGTCTGCTGCCTTCTTTATAAAATCCATAGTCTAGGTGGGAAGATGCGGCTCGCCCAAGGCTTCTGAGCTTCTGGCAGTTCAGTCTCCTGTTCATTCACCAAGTGTTAGATTACTGACTATGCCCCATGTGCTGTGTGCTGGGGAGAACGCAGCCATTGGCGCAAATGGCATCTATTGTGCACAAGTCCCAGGAAGCAAACAAGGCAGGGCAGAAGGCAGGCTAGCAAGGAGGTTTTTGTTTTTGTAGGAAAGCCAGATAGAAGGACCGGTAAAGGTGAGCAGAGACCAGAGTGAACTGAGTGAAAATCTGAGGAACCAGGCTCTCAGTAGAGACGGGAGTGCTGTGGGCCTGACAAGGAAGGTGATTGGCATTTCTGAGGATGAGTGGGGGGCCAAGAAGGCTGGAGAGGAGAGTGTGGGAACTGAGGACGAAAGGTAGCCAGAACCAGAAGGTGCAGCCCGCAGCTAGGACCCAGTGTTGGTGCCGAGTATGAGGGGAAGTCAGGAGGGGCTGAGAGGGGAGGCCATAGATGGTTTTCTGAGTCAAGGCCACCTCTTGGGCACTTGTGTATGAAGAGCAAAGTGGATCCAGGAGTGGGCTCAGGAGAACCAGGGACAGCCTGCATGACTTGGGCAAGACTGTGTGGTAGGGCAGGCAGAGAAGAATGACCAGATTCTGCCCAGGGGGGTAAGGTTTACAGATTAAAGCTGTTGTCAAAACAAACTGGTTTTTCCCTAAACCTGCAGATCTCTGAGCAAAGTTTCTAAGCCTCAGTCAGCTCTAATTGTTTTATATTCTCAATATTTTAATATTACTTTTATTGATTTTGCCAGTCTGTATATGTGGGAGCCAGAGGATGGCTTGCAGGATTAGATTCTCACTTTCCACCGTGAAGCTTCTAGGAATCGAACTCAGGTCAAAAGGCTTGGTTGGTGGTAATCACCTTTACCCAATGAGCCTGCCCATCTACTGTGTTGTGTACTCTTAATCTTGTCAGCTCAGTTTGGGCTCTCTTTCTCACTTGAGATAGAATCCATGAGTAGAGGGATCTCACCCAGCAGAGTGGGGTTTCTTCTCATGGAATGCCACGGGCTCCAAAGCACAGCAGGAGGAGGAAGCCTTAACGTGCAAATGCTGTGCAACACATTAGCCACAGTCTCTCTGGCCAAAGCAAGGCCCATGCTAAGAGCAGACAGAGGTCCAGCTGGGGGTGTGCCTGCAGTGAGGCCAAGCACGGCAGCCTTCCTAACTGTCTGAGTCTCCCCCTGCTGCTCCCTGGAGGGACCAAATAGAAAGCCTGCCCTGGCTGGAAGATGCCAGAATTATCCTTTGTGTAAAGTGCTCAGTCCAGCAGGAGCCAAGCATGCCTCAGCTGCAGGCATGGTGGGGGGTATTCTCATCCTCAGTGCTGCTGCAGCATGCTTGATGCTAAGCTTGTAAGGGGCATATCCAGGATTGGAAGCAAGACAGAAGAAGGTTGCTTGACAGCCTCACCAATGAGGCCCCTGCTCTGCTTTCTCTGGGGGTTTTAATATTTCATCAGGTGCTTTCTCCTCAGCTCTGCCTGCCTCGCAGAAGCATGCTGCACTTGTTGCTCTCCAAATCTCCACAGCCACAGACTCAAAACAAATGCCTTTTAGGCCCCTTTCCTGTGAGCTGTTCAGAAAAGAAGCAAAAGAAAAGGAAGAACAGGGGAACTTTTAAAACATGCCCTGACTTCTGGAACACAGCCTCCTGGAGCTGTGCCAAGCCCCAGAGATGTCATGCTAATTTCTTCTCTCCAAACCCTTAGAGCACAGAGAGCAAAACGAGGGCATTTAAGGTAAGGGAAGAAAGGAAAACTACTAGACCTGAATTAGATCGGCTGTGTGCTTATAATAAAGAATAATTTAAGTCCAGGGATGGGGACACAACTCAGTGGGTGGAGTGCTTGTCTCGCATTCATGAAACCCAACCCAGCACCGTATGAAACCAGATGGGGTTGTACAACCCACATGGGAGAAGGATGCAGAAAGAGCAGAAGTTTGAGGTCATTTTTCACAGGCTCCACTGCCCAATGAGTTCAAGGCCAGCCTGGTCTATCTGAGACTCTACTTCAAAACAAAACAAAGAATTTAAAGCCATGTTACTGATAGTCCTGAACATTCTAGAATGATCTATTAACAAGACTGTTCGCCTAGTTTCTCGTGGAGCATTTGAGTCAGATTAGAAATGTAGGCCATCTCTGATTTTTTTCCCCCTAGGAGATTTAGAGAAACATCAACATACTACTTTTTATATAGAAATAAATATGATTCAATAAAGCATTGGAGACAAATTCACATAGACCGCAGAATTTAAAGCAGGAATTTTGCATTGGTGGAAGATTGAACTGGACATGGCCCAAGCATGACCTTCCCAGAGCTGCCCACGTTCCCTGTGGTAGTTTCCCATCGGCCACAGTAGGAGTTCCCAGAACACAAGCCATGATAGCTACAAGTAGAACCTCCATGGTTCCTGTTGCTAAAGATATGGAAAGTTTCAGAAATAATTAATGTTTTTAACAACCTATCATCCATTATCACCTCATCCAGGTATAATGATGTTGGTAAAGACCCTATCGCTAGATAATGTCAGCCATGGGTAATAGAGGATAGAGACTGGACATGATTTGGAAGATACAAATCCATCTCCTACCGCAGGAGGGGATGTTGAACTGAAGCAGGAAGCATAGGTAGGAATCGGCTTAGGATCTCTGAGAACAGAGGGTTCAAAACAGAAGAACCAAGGACAGTCTTCAAGGGCACAATGGGCTAGAGCGCTCTCTGAGCCCTGAGGTCCACACATTTAGGGGAAATGAATGGCAGGGGAGAGGGTCAGAAGTTGAACAAGGCTGCTTAGGAGTGGCGATGCTTACTGAGGACCAGTCAGCTTGGATAGATGGTAGCAGGCAAGCCCGGATGCATCAGAGACTCACACACAGGCTTATCCTAAATCAGGTGGTCATCACGCCACACTATCTCCCTTCTCTGGACTGTCTCCAGCTATCATATTTTATATAAAGAATCAGAATGAAGGCAGTTAGCCGTTCACAGTTCAGTCTTGCCCCGCTATGTAGAGATCAGCCTTGTCCCTGAGTTTCACAGTGTCCGGTGCCCCTCCTATGGCCTCTACACTCTCCTCTCATCACTGCTATCTCTTCAGTGGAGGTCACATGTTCACAAGGCCACGCGTCTCCTGGTCTCTAAGTAAAAGGTCAGCTACAAGCAAATAGCAGTGTTTGCATGCTGAGTATCTGCAGTTCCCTCCTGTCTGCTCTCACCCCTACGGCGCTGGTGAGCTAGAGAAGTTAATGCTATACTGTATTAGTTCCTTTTCTGTTGCTGTGACAAAAATACTATGACCAAAAGTGACTTGTGAATGGAGTTTATTACAACTTATGGTTTCAGGGTGAAAAAGAGTCTGTCCTGGTGGAGAGGCACAGCAGCCAGTGTGGCAGCAGAGGCAGGAAGTTGTGAGAGAATAGAGAACACTGGAAGTTGACAAAGCTTTGAAATCTCAATGCCCGCCCCCAGTGATGCGCTTCCTCCAGCAAGGCTACACCATCTAAACCTTCCAAAAGAGCACCACCCACCTATTGGGGAATAGATGTGCAAATGCTAGAGCCTATGGAGGACATTTCTCATTCAAAGTATCGCACACACTCATGACTGTGGCCCATACTGCTTCTTCCCCCATGACAGTTATCTTCACCGTGAGCTGACATGTGCTCTCCCATGGTCTTGGTGTCGTGGGCAGGAGACACATCAGCACCTGTAAGTGCTCTTCCTGTGACCACGTGTGAGCCAGGGCCTCTCTCACTGCTGTGTCTTTTCCTCAGGCATCGCACTCAGTGCGCTCCCCATGTACCTCAATGAGATCTCCCCCAAGGAGATCCGAGGCTCACTGGGCCAGGTGACTGCCATCTTCATCTGCATCGGCGTGTTTGTTGGGCAGCTGCTGGGCTTGCCTGAGCTCCTGGGAAAGGTAAGTGTGGCTTTTCGGACCACCATAGCTGCTTTCCTCTCACTGTTACCAGGCCACAGGGAGCCCTCAGAAGTCTCCTCTCTGAGGTAGCAATTCCTGAGGGCTTGTGTAGTACACATTCATGGACACATTCTTAGAGCATAAATATTACATAAAGACTCAAACCTTTAGGTTCAAGTCCACGGCTCACCAACCAATGACAACAGCTAAATTTGCATTTATACAAGCTTTGCTCTCTATGCTTGGGGGTTGGAGAGATAGCTCAGCAGTTAGGAGCACTGGGTGCTCTCCCAGAGGTCCTGAGTTCAATTCCCAGTCAATCACATGGTGGCTCACAACCATCTATAACGAGATCTAGTGCCCTCTTGTGGCCTACAGGCATACATGCAGGCAGAATACTGTTTACATAATAAATAAATAAAATCTAAAAAATCTATATGCTTCTTACCCGAATATTTGGTTAGTTGTAGTTGTGTTGTTTTCATAGGATCGTGACATACACATGGTTCTGCAGCTTGCTTTTCTTTTCATTTTACACATTTTTGGGTGTCTTTCCAAGAAATTCACTAACCCTACCACAATCTTGAGTTTGTCTTTTTTTTTCCCCTAAATATTTGTTCAGTCTTCTAATTTCCCTTGCTGTATGAGGAACAGGAAGGATTAGAATCTCAGTTCAACAATGTACTTACTTGGTGGGCTTGGCAAAGAATTAAGTTCATCTAGGTTGGTATAGAGTGGGGTTAAGCCCTAGAGCATGCCCAAGGGTGAGTGAGGGTTAGGGAATGGAGATGGGGTCTGGGAGAGGAGAAGCCATAGAGACAGGATGAGACAACGGAAGAGGCCTCCAGATGAAAGCAGTGTCTGTGGTAGTAACTGAGAGGGTCTGGCACCAAGAGAGCAGGAATGAACCATGTGGGCGAGGAAGATGCATGAGTAGGGTGAAGGCGAGGGGCTGCTCACTGAGCCCAGCAGGATGCTCCAGGGGCACAGCAGCGGGGCGGATTCATGGCAGAAGGGGCTATGAGGAGGTAAGGGAAAGGGAACAAACTGGAGTGGGGAGGATGAGGCTGGCTCAGAAATCCGTGGCTGCTGGCACATGTGGCCAGAGCCAGCAGTGTCTGGGGTTAGGGATCTGTGCATTGGTCAAGACCTGGAAGGAAACCGAGTCCATGGTACCTACCACCTGTGATGGGTGAGGGGGATGGTAGGAGGGTGGCCCAGACGCTTCCTGGGTATACAGAGGCCTCTCCGGGCCTCCTCTGGGACAAGTGCAGGAAGGATGAGGACAGGATGCATCAACTCACGACTAACGCAGCCAAAGACTGACTGCTCTGAGTACTTAACAGTGCTCGATGCCCACAGCTCTTAGCACCTGGGTATGGCAACAAGACAGCTTAATGAGAAAGCGCACCAGGAGAGCACTCACGGGTAAGGATGCTTTAGTGAGACATCCAAAGCCTTACCATTGCCTCCTGCCTAGATCCTGCCTACAGCTTAGAACCTGGAACTGAGAGATGGACAATGCAGGACTCAAGGACTTTCACATCTGTCTGCTCAGCGTGTCTCACCCAGCCACGAACCCAGCACTGGCTTCTCTGGGATGTTCCAGCTTAGGAAAAAGGGGTCAATTCTGCATGGGCTTCTGTGCACTGCCTGACCTCACTAGCTCTGGATCCAGCTCCTATCTTACTCAGTAGAGGTTCCATAGGTCCACTATGCGGAGATCAGAAGACAACTTTCCGTGACGGGTTGAACTAGGCTCTCAGGTTTGCATCCAAGCTCTTCCCCTGGGGGAGGCGTCCAACCTGCCGTTAGCCTGTGCAGGGCTCCTCACATCTCAGTTGGACCAGATTGTCTCCGAGCCACCTGCCTCTCACCTCTCTGTGTGCCTTGTCTGGAGTGGCTGCAGGCACACTCTTGTTTTCCTCTTTTACAAAACCAGAAACAATGCCTGCTCTGTACTTCCGATTGTCTGGTGCCTGACAGTTTCCATAATTAGTGTGAACGTGTGGAAACTGTCTGCCGGGGTGAGGTCTCACATTAAAAGGTTCGTTTGCTCCCTCCGTTTAAAGATATTTTTAAGTTCCCAAAGTGAACATTTGTCAGCGACAATAAAAACAATATGGCAACTACAGCCCGAGCCCTCACAGTATAAAAGTGTATATTAAAGCTAATAAATAGCAGACCTGTTCTCCAGGTATTAAAACGGTAAGTGCTTGCTTTGCTGGACTCTAACTTCCTTGTCGGTCATCAAACCTTTCGGATGTCAATACTGAGGCCTTTCTGTTAGCCCAGGCCCTCCTGACAGCTCCGACTTCATTCATTCACTTAGTCAGTTAACAAATGGTTAAAACATTGAGTTGGATGCTGGGGTCCAGCAGTCAGTACTCCAGATACATTCCTCTTAATGAGGCTTTATAGATGGCAAGAGCTGTGTGACCATTAGCAGGTCACCCCTTCCCCAGCATTCTTGGTAGCAGGCCTGGCTCAAAGTCCCACATCCCCATGTCCTACCTAAATACCATTTCCTCTGGGAGCACGTTGCCGAGAAATCTGTCCTCAGAGCACCTTGTGCACCGGTCTCTCCTGTTCTGTGGTTTCTGTTTGCTTCCATGTTTCCTCTGCCTTGGGGAGTGCATCTTGCTGATGGTTGCTAGAGTCCAGAGGTGTCAAGCTTATCCACCCCCTCAGCAAGTCTAGGAAGCCCCATCAGCTGTGTGCCAGATGCTGGAGCTGGCTGCCGCTACTGCAAACATGGGTAGCCAGAAGAGACGCCGCACTCATGGAAGCCACGGGGAGGCAATTAGCAGTGGCTGGCAGATGATGGAAGAAGCAGGACGCTGGCCTTGCAGGGGGAAGAATGGTTTTCCTGCAGAAGTAATATGAAATGAATGTGATAAAAATAATTAGAGTTTGTATTGGCCAGGGCTGGGGGCGGGGACTAAGTGAAGAGGAGCCGGCTAAGCAGAGAGAACAGTTTAGAAAGACCCTTGTTTAGAGGCAGAAAGACCTCCGCTGGGCCGGGTCCCTTTGCGTCCCTTTGCTCAGGTCTTGGCCACCTTCTGTCTCTTGTCATTTGATAATGGCCATTGTAAGGGCGGGAGGTGATACTTCACTGTGATTTTGATTTGCATTTTCCTGCTGATTAGTGGAGTTAAGTACCTCTTCAAGTATCCATTGGCTGGTTTTAAAATTTTCTTTTACTCGTTAATTTTGTGTGTGTGTGTGGTCCTGAGATTGTCTGCCTGTACCAGGTGCACAAGGTGCCCTTGGAGGTCAGAAAAGGGCATCAGATCACCTAGAGCTCTTACACGGAGATGTCCAGTTTCACCAGCATCTCAGCCAAGGCCAGAGGGATTGCCCCAGTTAAGCAGGAGCAGATGGGATTGGAGGAATCTGTGGGTGATGGTCTGCGGCAGCTTAGGAAGAGTCAGTGAAATCTCTGGGTGGCTGACCTGTTAGCCAGGTAGAGTAGTAATAGTACAAGATCCCAAGTCAGGAGCCAGAGTGGAGGAACAGGAGCTTTTTAGGGACCAAAGTGACAACGAATGGCTCAGGTTAGAGACCACGGGGAAAGAAGCAGAGCTGACCTGAGCATAGCCAGCACCTCTGTTCCCCGGCCGCTAGTGCTGCCCTGGAATAGCAGGGCACATCAGCTGGACTCTGGCATGTTGGGCCAGCAGCTGTGCCCACCGCCCCACCTGGCCAGCATAGAAGGCACTGATCCCTGCAAGCTGTCTTTCCCTGTGTTATTTTTTTTATTGCTATGATAAAAGAGCTGAGGAAAACATCTTAAAGGAGCAAACATCTATTCTGGTTTGTGAAACTCAAATTTAAATGTCAGAAATTTAGTCCACGGTCAGCTAGCTGCATCACTGAGGGCTTGCTTGTGTTAAGGTGGGACTTAATGACAGCGTGCACGGTAGAGGAAGATGCTTCCCCCAGTGCAGTGAGGAGGGAGGGTGGGAAGGGAGGGCGAGACAGAGAGATAAAAAGGAAGAGAGAAAGAGAAAGAGAGAGAGACCAGCAGGGAGAGACACAGACAGACAGAGAGACAGAGGGTAACAAGATCTATTCCTCAAAGGCATTGCCCCAGTGAACCCAACCACATAGATGTTAATTCACTGGTAAGGTCAGAGCCCTCGTGGGTCACTTTCCCAAAGTGTCCCCTGGGAACACTACACTGCGGACCAAGCCTTCAACACATGAGTCTCATTCTCAGGGGGACACCACCTCCAAATCCTAATACTCCCCATCAAATTGGATTTTCTAGTCTGAGCTGGCTCTGGCTGGAACAGTGGTTCTCAACATTGTTTCCTAACGCTGCGACCCTTTAACACTGTTCATCACATTGTGGTGACCCCCCCCCAACCATAGGATTATTTCAGTGCTACTTCAGAACTGTGGTTTTGCTACTGTTACTAATTGTAATGTAAATATCTGATATGCGACCTCAAGTGAGTCGCGACCCACAGGTCGAGATTCACTGGGCTAGGAGACTGTGCGTAGCTAAGTAAGCATCTTGGGTTTGGATTTGTTTGTTGTATTTTTTCATGTGCACTCTGTGAAGGTGGCAATTGGGCTTTTGATGAGGGAAAGAACATCAGACGAAAGTTTTTTCTTCATCTCCTCTGGGGTTTTGTGAGTGGGAGCCACGGGCATTTCCCCAGGTGTGCGGATTTCATTCTTTTATTTTAATCCTGTTTCTCATTTACCTTCAAAGATGGAGACATCTACGCTTTTAAAAACTCGGGTGGGTTCTTTGAAACACAAAGGAGGGAGGAAGTGGTGAGAGTCACTTTTGGACTGGGATGGCAGAAGACAGAGAGTGATCCTGGTCCAATTGATGCCATAAATTTCACCAGACTTGTAAAACCAGGGGTGGTGGGACGTTTCTGTGACAGTTTTTTGCTTCTGAGGGACATATTAAAAGGCATATTAATGAAGCATTTCTCTAACAAAGATGAAAAAGAAGGAACTTGGATGGAGACCATAGGCAA